GCAGGAAAGATTCTCCTGGAGATGCTCCTGTGTGACTTCTCTCTGTGGGTGCGTCAGGTGTGATGACCTGTATTAGCTGAGCCAAATCGGGTCAAGGAATGACATGCCAAGGTTCCAAGGCTGTGTTGACCACCAGCTGCTCAAACAGCCGAGCTGAAGCCCAGTTACTTGAGCACAACTCTGTGTTCTCAGAGTGTCAGATGATCCACAGGGCCGCTGGCCCGTCATTGTGATGGTTGAATCTCGGTGTCATTTTGCAGAGATGCTGTGAGAGCAAGAACCGACACCTGTCTGCTTGCTGTCTTCCTGCCTCTCTTTCCTCTGTCCCCCTGTCTGTCTGACCGGCCTCTCTTCCTCTTTCCCCTCTCTCTCTGACCTCTGGCACCTCATCTCCTTACCTCCCTTCCTCTGCCCCTTCCTCTTTCTTCCTTCATCTCTTCCTCCTCCTCCTCTTCTATCCCCCTCCCATTCTCTTTCCTTCGATGTTACCATTTGCTGGATTCATGGATTCCAGGAGGCGATGTAAAAATCACAGATAACCCAGAACTCTGGCCAGCCCAGGCTTGCTGGGGGAAGCTCTGAAGTGGAAGGTTCACTTGGGAGATGGCATTCGTGAAAGCAGCACCCCAAAGTCAAGGCCTCAGGGCCCACAAGGTGTGGTGAGTGTGCACATGTGGTGGGCAACTGACTGGGGACAGCCACTGTCCCCTCTTGTCAGGAGGCCTCAGGTCCTGCCTTGGGGTTCGACATTCCAGGGCCTGGACACACAGTCTCCTTTGATAACATAAGAAAATGGGAGGCTGGGCCTCAGTCCCTGACTTCATGGGGACAGAGTTGCATTGGCTCTGAATGGTGGCACGGAGTCAGTCAGCCCTGGAGGACCGGGAGCCAGGTGCCTCATCCTTATCTAAAAAGGGACAAAAGGCAGGGCTGGGGATGTGGCTCAAGCGGTAGCGCGCTCGCCTGCGTGTGGCCCGGGTTCGATCCTCAGCACCACATACCAACAAAGATGTTGTGTCCGCCGAAAACTAAAAATAAATATTAAAAATTCTCTCTCCTCTCCTCTCCTCTCTCTCTCTCTCTCTCTCTCTCTCAAAAAAAAAAAAAAAGGGACAAAAGGCGTGCCGTGCTTGTGTGCAGAGGCGGGAGTCACCCTCTACCAAGGGTGTCTTGCTTCTCCACTTTCACCCTGCTAACCACCACAAAGTCGATGCCATTATCTCCGCACTTCCAACAGGGAAACTGAGGCTCAGAAAGGTTATGTGGCTTGTCCAAGGGCCGCAGATGGTAGGAGATGGGGCCGGGGTGTGAACCTGAGCCAGGTCTGCTAGCCTTTGGGCAGCAGTGTGGCCACAGCCCTCACTGCTCCTTGTAGGGAGCAGAGATGAACAGGGGCCTCTGCTCAGCCCTGGGGCCCTGCCATGGCACGTCCCCTTCTCAGCTCTGTCTCTGCACAAACTCTTGAAGAACAGGCAGGGTGCCGAGGCTTGGGCTGGGTGGGAGTGGCCGTGGCCCCCAATGCTGGTCCCAGTGATGTCCTTGACTTGGTCACTGACCTGTGTGGGGCCGCTGCTGGCCTCGGCTTCCTCATTTGCAGGTGGGTTTATGTTCCTGTTCTACACAGGGTGTGAGGAATGAGGGGCCCCAGCAGGGTCTGGCACATAGGGACCCCTGCAGGACCAGGACGGTCAGCGGTCCTGTTCCAGGCGTCTCTTGACATTTTATCCAAATGCAGTTTCCAACACGCAATGTGGGTCTTGGATTGGCTCCTGGAAAAGGAAACTGGAGGGACCCAAGTAAGGTCTGCAGTGTTGTCGGTGGACGTGGGCAGCACAGGGAGCTGTGAACTTGAGATGTCAGCGAGGGGTTGGGCCACATGGGACTCTCCGTAGTACCTTTGCCACTTGTCTTTAAGTCTTGAATTTGCCCAGACATTTTGGCCTTCACTTCCTTTAGTCCCCTCTCTTCCAGTCCAATGCTTTGCAAAACAAGAAGGTAGTCTCTGCCCCTAAGCGGTTCCTGGCAGCTACCTTCCCACTCGGCCTTTCTGCACTGCGGCTGGATCACAGCCCTTACTAGTGCCTTAAAAAGACGGGAGATCTAGCGGACAGACCTCCAGGCGCTGTGAAGATATTTTTAACATAGGTGACGTTGGGATGGGGGACTTTTGAGTCACTTAAATAACGATCCACACAGACGTCTAGCCACTCTTCGGCACAGTTCTTTAATCTTCTTAAATGTGCAAACACACCACCAGGTGTGATGAAACTCAGCCGCTGCAGCTGCCAAATGCTGCGGAATGAGAACAAAGCCCGAGGCTTCACCTTGGGATCCAGAGCAAGCACAGCAGCCTGGTGCCCAGGACCCTGGACCCCACAGTCTTCTGTGGATTTTCAGGTCCTCAAGCCCCGTTTGCCAACACTGTGTGTCGGTCCCCCACAGGTGCCTGCTGTTTTCTGCCTCCACCTTCTTGTTTTTCTGGACAGCTTTCTGCTGCTCTCTCCCACCACTAACACCCCACTGCCGCCTCCCACGCTCCAACCCTCGGCCTCCAGCCAGCGGGCCTCCAGCCACGGCCTCCCCGCTGGCTGCTGTCAGCACCTGAGCAGTCTCAGTCTTGCCTTCCTCTCCTCCACGCTCCACCAGGCTACACCTAACTTCTCTTTTTCAGGCCACAGACCTTGTCTTTCCCTGAAATAAGCTGCACACATGAAGACAGACACACAGACAAAATCATTTGTACACACACTCTCACCTACAAACAGATACATCCGTGGACACACAGACACAACTTCACATCACAGATAATAGACACACAAAGATACACACAGGCACACAAGCAGACACATACACACACTCACAAAGCATCTCACATACATGCTTACACACACAGATGTACAGACACAGGGGTACAAGCCACAAACAGGGTTGGACCACATGGATAAAAACACAGCAATGGGTCCATGGGCACCTGGGTGCCACCCACATCCTCCCACAGCATCTTGGCTGGCAGTGCTTCTTGCACTAGACAGGATGTTTCTAGGGATGGTGCTATGCAGGAAGTCCCTGGAGGGTTGGGACCATGCCTTGCCCACTCAGTGCCTAGCCCAGCTCCTAACAGGGTGCCTGGCTGAATGTTCCAGTGCCAGGCCTTGGCAGGGCGTGCCCGGGACCCCCCAACTTTATGCCTCCCGCTTTGAAACACCAAAATCCCCGGCTGCTCGATTCCCTTACCCAAGATTTGCAGTATTTGTTCCTGACCTACCCCTTCTCCCGCACACCGTGAACCACCTCTAGGTGACTACGTACTGTGTGCAGTATAAACGCTTATAAATGGTTGTCACCCTATACTGTTCAGGGGATAATGACAAGGAAAAAAGCCTTTGCGTACTCAGTACAGATGCCCTTTCCCCCAAGCGTGTTTGATCCACTCTGTTGAATTTGTGGAAGCGGAACCCAGGGGTACATTCCATTCTTTCGGAAGGTTCTGCCTTTACGACGAATTAAAATGGACTCTCTTTGCCTTAACTTGGCTTTGGGCGGGGGAGAGAGCAGAGGTGTCTAACACACCTGCTCAGGTCAACGTGCTGGACCCTGATGTCAGCTGACCATCGTGCCAGTTGCTGTCTCTGCTTCAGAGTCAACTGTATGGCTTCACAGGCGGCGGCGTTCGGGGTCCCTGTGGGTGAGACACAAACACATATAAGTTTTCTTTTGTTTCATTACAGGTACGGAATCAGATGTTGTGACACTTGGTAAGTACTTTGAAAAGAATGTTCTATGTTAGATGGTAGTGTTTTCCACCCTATTCACCTATTTTTGCCTTTCAAATAAAAGCCACCTCACTAAAGGTGTGATTTGGTCCTATAGAAACGCAGAGGCAGTAGAGACCTCCTTCAGCCATAGCATAAAAGGACCTCGTGGGATGCAGTTATGTTCTTCAGTTTTGCTTTGCCTCTGCCTCAAATTTCAGGGCACACAAGAATCAGGTAGAATAATTACAGAAATGCAGGTCTTTGCACTCAACTCCCTCCCTTGAGAGAACTTGATTTGGAGGCCTGAGGTGGGGCTCAGGAACCTGCAGTTCTGCAGACCCGTACCTAAGGCTAGTCTGCCCACCACACTTTGGGAAACTCCTGCTTGGCTAGAATGAGACTTTGGTATACTCAAGGTTACCGAAGCATTGCTTTGCTAAGAATTTCTAAGGAAGGTGGCAGTGTGCATGTGTAGATATCTTAAATGCTAGCTATTTTTGTTCATTATATCTGAAACTATTGAGTGCCTCATCTCCAACCCACTTCCTTCATGTGTTGCACAAACACGTTTACTAAGAATGCCGGAGGCACACTCGCAAGATTGGGCCACAGCGCCCCCTGGCAGGATTGTGAGGCAAAGCTGAAGCCCATTTCTGTGACCTGTAGATCACAGAAATGACTTCCAAACGGTGGGACCCTTTTCTAAGACACCTTTGGTTTCTTTCTAGATCAACGGTACCTGATGACTACAGAGTATGGTAAGACCTAATCTCTCTCTCTCTCTCTCTCTCTCTCTGTTCCTGGGGTTGAACTCGGGGACACTCAACCCCTGAGCCACATGCCTAGCTCTATTTTATGCTTTATTTAGACACAGGGTCTCACTGAGTTGCTAAGCGTCTTGCTGTGGCTGAGGCTGGCTTTGAACTCTCGATCCTCCTGACTCAGCTTCCCAAGCCGCTGGGATCACAGGCATGTGCCACCGCACCTGGCAAGACCTTTCCTCTCTTTACTCTTCTTTCCACAGTTTTGGTTATTGCCTGGGATGGTCAGCTCTACTGCTGCTGCCATTGGCTAGTCAGGACCATAGAACAAATGCCCAGGGATGGAGTGGGGACAAGTGTTGTGGATGCCAAGTCCCTGGCCATGTCCCAGATGCACAGTTAATCCCGTCTCTCATTTTCCTTCCTTCTTTTCTCTCAGCCATTTCTGACACTAGCTTCAGCCTACTGTCAGAAGAGACTTGAGAACAGCCAGGGCTTCTCCTTCTGTACAATAGGGGCCGTTATCTCAAAGACAATTGACCTCTGTGAGGCACTTGTTCTGTCCCTAGCACAAAATGGTTTTCATACCTTAAATGAGTTACTCCATAACAAGTATATGACCACCTGTCACCTGGTAAGTGCTCACATAATGCATATAGTAAATGAAATCTTCCCAACACTTGAGGTAAGTATCACGTTACACTTATTTTTCAGACATGAAAACTAGGGAATTTGGGGGTAATTTGCCAATACTTATAAGTTTAAAGTCACGTGGCTGGTGAGTGGCAGGGCAGAGATTGGAAGCTGGAACTGGAACCCCGTCTGTGGCTCTTGTTAAGTGAGCCCCCCACATGCACACACTCTCTGCACCGACGTGTACAGACCTTTGTGGCCGAGTTTTATGTGTTCAGGTCATCTAGGACCAATGATCCCTGGAACTCTTGAGCTATCCCCCTTTCTAAGTCATGCCTTGAAATTTGCAAACGTGAACTGGGAGACGACTTGAGAGGCCGCTTTTTGACTGACCCGGGTAGGGCCAGGCTGAGACAGGAACTCAGTGAGCTCTTTTGTAGGGATCATCCCAGGAGTGCCAGAAGGGGTGGTCATAAAAGGGGTGAACAGGCCCAGAAAACACCTCGGGAACACCCAGGAAACAGTCCAATTGGCCTTTTTTCTCTGAACATCGCCTGCCAAACGAAAGCAACCGCCTTTCCCCTTACCTTGCACCTCATTTCAACCTGTCTCAGATTTCTCAGAACCTCAAATGACCACGGAAGAGCCACAGTCAGGATCTAGCTGCTGCGAGATCCCTCAGGACCCGCTGTGTATTTCCTTGATCACATCAGCGTGGCTTTCCACTGAGGGTGATCTGCAGGCATCGTGCCGCAGGAGCAGGGTGCCTGTGGGAGAGGAGGCTGGAAGGGTTGGGCGAGGCCTGCTCCCGGCACACGCCGTCTTGAGCTTGACCCCGGGGGGTGGCGGAGAGTCAGTTGAAGCAGTGTGAGCAGGGAAATGGCTCCGACAAGCGTC